GGCATTTCACATCATTAGCTCGAGGGTGTTTCACAGGTTTTATACATACATACACATATGTATAATATTTTTATATGCTCTATTATTATTAATCCTCTTAGTAATGGTCTGGAAAAATCCCCCTGGCATTCAGATAGTCAAGCTTGATAAAAAACTTTGAACGACGAATTATACAACAAGCAGAATTGCATGGAAAGCGATTATGACAGATAACTGTATGTACATACATATGTTTGTGTGCGAACTTTCGATTGTATTTTTCAAACAGCGTCCAAAAATATTTGATCGTTCCCCAACGGTGCGAAAGAATATATCGTAGAATTTGTATCTGCATACGAGATTTGCCTTTTATATTTCGGTTCCATTTCGTATTCTCCCTTAAGATCTATATACTTTTGCATGCCTTTGAACCAATTGTCGGAGCATTTTTGCCACTCTGATTGAGGTGTCTCCAAATCATGTGTTTTGAATGCATCAACCGTCTCTTAAGGTGTTGCAAAACGTTGGCCTCTTAGTTTGATATTATATACCCTATACTATATTTTGAGCAAGCTGTAACTTGAGTAAAAATTGAAATATCTTGATGAAACATGGTACACATGGTTCTTAGCACCGTGAGGTATATATGGGAGATGGACGTAATTGGCCATTGCCAGATCCACAAATCGCAATTAATCGAAATGGTATAAAGTGCCATAACTAAGCTCCCTAATAATATACGAGACTGTTATTTGATGCACCGAATCGCATTAGGGAAGGGAATCCGTGGTTTGAGACACTTTGCAAAAGTAGGCGTGGGCTCACCCCCTAATAGATATAATGCACATATCTCCCACACCACTTGAGCTAAATCAACCAAACTTGATCCAAACAAATCATTTCAGCACGTCTACTGAAAGTGTAAAAATTAGTGAAATCAGCTTATAACCTCGCCCACTCCTGACGGTTATGGGGAAAACTACTAAAAGTGCGCTAACACACTGAATAAATGAGCCACATACATTAAATTTCACAACCTGAATGGCAGGGAAGCACTTTATAGGATGTGGTATGAAAATTGTACAACGAGCGCGGCACCGCCCACTTTTAGGTGAAAACCTATATCTCAGAAATTGTTCGACCGACTTAAACCGAATGTGGTGTGTGAGGTTATCCAAATATTCCTATTAAACATTAAAAAGGGCGAACATTTTAAATTTCGTTTGACTCTTTCATTTTACAGTATACGAAACACTCACCAATAAAGTTATCAGAATAATACGCAAAAATGTGTAAAATTGGTAAAAGCAGGTCAATACTTCCATAGCCCCCATATGCCGAACATAAACTTTTCGAACGTCCGGTTCACTTTATACCGCACCTATCGGTCAATACGTAAGAAATCTTAATGAAATTCAAAAATAATCTCTTTCCAATAACAGTGTATCCTCTTTCCTTAAATGAATGAAATCATGGCGATACTTTCCTTAGTTTAATGTAAAGTTTTGCCAAAACCAAAGGTGCAAAAGTATGGAATGTTCGGTTACACCCGAACTTAACATTTCCTTACTTGTTTTTACTTTTAATTGTTTTTGAACGTTTATTTTGAAAAGAAAACTTAAAACATAAACTGTTCAAAGGGTGAATTGACGCCGAAAAATTGAAACCTATTTAATCTATTTTTGGAATTATGTATGTTATATTGGGTTAAAGGAATATATAATATGAGCCGATTCCATCTTTGTTCCGTGTTTTGGGGATTTAAAATGGGATTCAGCATATCAGCTTCCCCACTGAATTTAACGTTTTTAGCTACGTAATTGAGGTACTATCACACTCTTAGTAGTTTGTAGTAAGCCAATGTGTGAAAATGGGTCTGATAGTTACATGCATGATCTATCTACCATATTTACACTATCGGTGGTGAGATCCAATATTTCTAACTACCAATCGTGATTCTATGATTCTTTGTGTGTGCCCCCTTAATAGCACTTTGAGTAAATACAGTATTGTACAAGCAAATAAATACATTAAATAATTAGCAGTTCGCGCTGGGCATCGAGGCGTACAAACCAGTCATTGATGATTCACATTCTTCACAAATTCTATCTTTAAAGTGATCACTGCCACTTGGTGATATAAATACATTTTGTTGCCAAAGTGGTTTACGCCGTACTGTTACAATTATCACATATCTGTATGTATCGTAATTACTAATTACACAAATTCAAATTCACACTTTTTTTTTGCTTCACAAGCACGCGCTAATTGCGCCAATCTCACATATTTCAAATACCGCAACCAAGTGTGAATTCAGTGAGTAATTGCATTTGCCCCAATTAAGACTCAAAATGTTCTAACGATCGGAGACGATTGTGAGTGCAAATGCATATTCTCATATGATATTTGTGTGTATATAAAACTTCGGAGTGTAGAGTCGCGAAGAATTTGGGAAATATTAAAAAAAAAGTCTTTGGGGAAAAAAATTACTCCGTTGTCATCATTTTGTAAGGCTCATTGTTTATTATTTTTCGTCCAACAACGCTTGTATCGTCTGCACGATTTTGTAGAAGTTTTCATAAATTTCTGCGTACAAGTTCTCTGCTCGCCAAGTTTGAGCTCTACACTCATGCAAAATAATTTGTATTCATATTCGGTTTAATGCAACATAGGAGAGTGAGATGATGTCTCATTCAAATGTTTCACCTCTTTCTATTCAATCTTTATTTCTTTTAGCCATTATATTTGGTTTATGTGAGTGGTGCGTTTCGCCCCTCTCCATGCTTTTGCGTATCGAAGACATCTATTGTGTATTTGTAGCTTTTGAAACTCCCAATACTAACGCAAATTTCGAAATAATCCGCATTACCACGTATCAAATTTGTGAGTAATGGCAATCATGCTGCCTTGCTGCTACCAGTTGTTTCCAGATTATAAAAGTAAAGTGGTATAGTATGTTGTATATATGTTATATAAAGGTTTTGTACATATGTATTTGTTTATATGCAATCCATTGGACATGTCATGGGTATGTATGTGGCGATTGCGTAAATGTAATATGAAAAAAGTGAAATTTTTTAATTATAAAGTTGCACGATTTGCAGTCTGACATACCAGGAGCACACACATATGTACATATGTATGAATATAAGTAACATATATGTATGTTAAACTTCGTTAAATTGAAATCAAAATGTTCAGTTTTCAATTCACAATTTTCCACTTCATTTCCGATTGAGATGGTTAGCGAAATAATTGAACATATACGCACATATATAAATGTAACAGAATATCTGCAATGTTGACAAATATTTTCCAACTCATTTCCTATATAATGCCTTCGATTTTCTCTAATATCTATATTAATCCAAACATTCGAAGATGTTAACAGTTGTTATTTTCTCTAAGGATTTGTCTAACATGGATTCTTTTGCCTTTTTCCGGTAGGTGACGACGACAAGCGACAGGCAGCATCTGTTAGATATTAAAATACACACGTTCTTATGTGCACAGTTATTTAGCACGACTTCACGGCAGCAGGGTTGCAATTGTCGCTATCGGTAAATTAAAACTATTTCAAATTTTGCCGACGACAATGGGCAGCGGTAGTGATGTCACTAATATGTGAAATGTAAAATTATATAAAACTCTAACAAGTCTAAACTTATTTTACCAACAGAAGCCTAAAATCGCTCTGATATATCATTTGTAATAAGAATTGATAATCGACCTATTTACTTATGTATTGCACAAAAAATATCATTTTTAACAAAATATTTTAATTTTATTGAAGTTAAAGATTTTAGTACGGCAACAACGAAGTTGTGTACATCAGCTGTTTGATATATCACTGCCGTCTTCAAAATGTTCGAGAAGCTGGCTTCAAGACGACAGTAGCCGACAAGAAAATTTCGCTGTTTTGTGTCAAAGCATCACACTTTTTATCTGTCTCCGCTTGTATGTGCACATATCCACATACATATGTATAATAAATATTGATCCTATTTACAGAGGATTTGCGTGTAGAAGTATAGAGGGAAGCCTTATTTCAATGAGCATCTCAACACTTTCTGTTGCCACCTCTCCCTCAGGGGATTCCTCGTTGTTCCCGGTGGTTATCTGCTCTTCGGATTAAAGTGAATCCTTTTAATTCTGCTATGATTGGACTGTGGCTCAATGCAGTACACTCAATTGTCAACTTACTTTCTTTCTTTACTTCGACAGTTTCTCTTACCCTTGTAAGTGAATAAAAATACCCGCCCTTACTCATTTCAGTAACAATTGAACCGTTATTGAAGTCAATGAAATGAAGGAATTGTAAATGGAATACAATACCAATTCAATTTAGTTATGACCTTACGGTTGTTCTTGGCTGCTACACAATCATTTTACCACGATGTGTACAACAAATAGAGTACAACGCACCTATTATCCGCTTAATTCTGTGTGCTTTTACTATGCATACGAGATCATATACATATATATTTATTTGGCTTGTCGGAAAATTCTTCTCGTATGTAGACACAGCTGGGAACAACGATAAAGCCTACGAGTATTTGTTCTAGTATATAATGGAGGTGGTTGTGTCTTGCGATTGGACAAGATTGCTTAGCTCCGTATACGTATGTATTTATATATTTGTATTCTCGGTCCAATACAATTTCGGTCTTTTCAACATTTCCTGCTGAGGCTATGGATGTAATCATTATTTGTTGTAATCAGTAGCTGATACGTTGGGTGTTGATACATCTGTATATGCGTTTTAAAAATGAGAACCGGCGAGAAAGAGCGGATTATATCGGCTTTGCTCTGAGTTATCGTTGCTTGTACTATCCTAGATGCACTTTGTTGTAAAACCTTCACCCCAGTGGATACACGACAGCTGCGTGGTTCTTCAATTCCCAGAGAACTATATAGTATACTCGTACCTAGGGGTTTATCAGCAGAAAATAAATGAAGCAATAATTCCTTTGTAACTACATTTCTTTGTTCATATTTTCTTTGTTTTCTTTACTTTACAGACTATGTTCGTTGACAATAACGCGCCTATCCATACTGACACCATTGCCCGGCGATATGACGTCACTAACGTTGGCTGTCAAGATGCAAAGCTCCAAACGCACGCTACGCTCCCACGAGATACCCATAAACAGTAGTGGTTTTACGCAAAGTGGCTCATCCGGTGGGGCAGTAACCGGTTCGACTGCCCCCAATAGTGGCGGCGGCGGCGGGGTTGCTGGCAACATTATACAGCAAAGCAACTCCGGAGCTGCACTTATCGGCAGCGGCAGTGGCAGCGCACAAATGGGTTCGGCCATAATTGGCACACCCGGAAATATTGGAAACACGGGCATTGGCATTGGCGGAAGTGGCAGCGGTGCGTCCATGACGATGAGCGGTTTCGCCGTTGTCGGAGGCGGTGCTACGACGATGCCACTGGCAGAGACTGAACTAGATCTACACTTTAGCCTCCAGTATCCGCATTTTATTAAGCGCGACGGCAATAGGTGAGTAACCGGAATTGTTATGCAATGTCTTAAGCGCAAGTGTATGCCTTTGAGTTCGTAGATTTGTTAAATTTTCTGCAAGGAGCTTTGACCTGAAGCCAGTTGGTGTATGCTGAAACAATTTTTTTCAATATTTCGTTAATTTATAAGAAATTTAATGCTTTCCTTGTTGTTATGTTGTTATGTTATGTTTTTAAATTAATAACGTTGAAAATTCTTTAATTAATCTTGAATTGTTTACAATTTGTTTGGGATGTGAACCATAAGTTAACACTCTTACTTTCATCATTTCTTTTCAATGCTTGCAATACAATTACTACAACACTGGCAAACTGAAACTGCCCTTGAATGTTACCATGCAACAAAACTCCTACACTAATACCACTACACTACTACCAACAACAATAACAATATTAATGCCGAATTTCGCTGTGATGAAATTATATTTTTATATAATATTTACCAATTAACACGAATGTATTTCTAACTTATAAATGTATCATAAAACATCGCAAACCAAACAATTACTAATGCCACATTGCTCATTCCGTTAATTGAAATTAATGAATACAAAAATGACATTCTCATTGGTGCTTTGCATGGCTGTGTAAAATGTTTATAATTGATGTGTTATTGTCACAATCCACCAACTACAAATTTATACTGAAATTATTAAAAAAAAACAACAACAGCAATCGCATTGGCTACAATTTACCCTTTTCTCCCTTCTCACGCTCAAACGCGCATAGACTGGTTATATTGTTGCAACGACGCAAAAAATACAAATCACGCACCATCTTGGGCTACAAAACCCTTGCCGAGGGCATTATACGCATGGATGCGGTGCTGCAAAAGTCCATGGATATGACGGTCGAACTGACGGCAACTGGCAAGAATGGCCGACCGGGCACCACGGTGGCGTGTCTGCGCGCCGAACGCGTCTCTTCCATTCCAGTTGATCAAGACAATAAGAATAACAATAGTGTCCTATTAGCAGGTGAGTGGCCCCCAAAATAACTAAAATAATCAGTATTTAACACTTTCAAGTTGCCCTGCTTATGCAATCGTCTTTTGTATGTGGTCGATTGAACATTCCTATTGTCTACGATAATTAGTTTGTCCAATGTTGTTTCAATATTTTGTAATAAACATCATAGAAGTTAATAAGTGCGTAACGGTTCTAAAAATCGAGCGCGATATGTGAGCTTGTTGTGAGACTACATGTTCAGCTAATTTGAAATGAAATCCGCTTTAATATAGACCGTCAGTGAGGTAGGACTTTTTGTTTTTTAAACAAAATAATGCCAATATGAGATATCAACTCTTGAGAGATAAAATTAAACTTGCATAAAATAAATATACATATGTATTTCTTTTTTTAAGTTACAAACTGAGTACTTAGTTAAGATAAGGCTTTTGACTACACACTTAACGAGATTTTATCTCTCTACTTCCAACTAGGAAATCATACTTACAAAGATTCAATTCGATTTAACATTTTTTTTTTATATTTAATGCAATATAATTGTCATTTATTAACAGCAACATATATTTTATTTTAAGGCTTTGTTACTGTTAGAAAATAGGGGATTAATTAAAGTGGAGTCACCCAGTATTGAGAGAAAAGCGAGAGCGGTACCAGAGATTTAGGTTTAAGTTTCTATGCGCACCAAGACCCTTGTGTAGGTGTGATCGTGTATCCCTTTCTTACGCATAGCGCTTATCAGTTTCATGGTGTATGTTATTTTCAACACTAATTCTTACAATGTAGTGGATTTTCGGTAGTTCTGACTTGTTGTGTGGTTTCTACTAGTATTCATTGGGGTTTACAATAAGAGCACAGAAGTTAGTTTTAGAACTTGGAATTAGAAGAGTTACAAGCTATTCTTTAAAATATGCAAGTTTCAAAGCTGTTCAAAATGTTCGTCATGCTTATACCATTATGTAATCTTTCATGAAGAGGGGTGTTGTGCCTTGATTCAGTAGTTAACTACACTATAACCGGTGGTAAACAATTTTGCTAAATGGTCTAGAATTTTTGTTTATTTTTCTAGAGGAAAGCAAGTTTGTTTTGAGTTTTTAGCAATGGTTAGTTTAAAATTGGTGTGCATGCTCATGCTGCTGAGTGAGTGCAATGAGTGCTCCTTATTGCTGGATCATGTCCTGTGATGAGACTTGATGAGAATTGAATTTTTTTGTATTCTAAAGCCTACAATATGCTTATCGTAAAATATCATCCAAAAGCGTAATTTCTTCTGGAGATATGGTATTAATCAAGGAAAATGCAAAGCTTCAACTAATCTATTTTGAACTATGGTACATTTTCCCTAAGATACTTGTTTGTAACTAATTGTAACAAAAAATATATGTTTGCGATTAATTCGTTCCCAATTGTACCTTATATATCACTTACATAATTTTTTTGCAGGAATGTTGTACTCACACAGAGTAAGATATTCTCACACAGGCTCAATAGTTTAGTTGTTATCATTTACGCAAGTCTTTCATTTATTATTAAATGGCAGACGTCACTCGAATGCCCAAATAGCAATTCGAAATTGGCGACTGCTTACCGGAATGCCCATTATATTATATGATCTTGAGGGTGTACGTGCATATCTGCCATATTTGTACATACATTTTTATTACAAAATATTTCACACAACATTATTTAGTAATCATTATGGCCCATTTAAGAGTTACTCAACTTGCTACTTGCACACATACACACACACTCGTAAGAGCGTTAGATATGTAATTGAAATTATGAAAGAAAATTACACATGCAGCATTCTATTTCCGTGCACTGGGCGAGCATACAGATATTTCAGTTGACCTAACACGCCATGCCGCATGTTGCATGAACCGACGACGAATAGTTATGTGTGAATAGGAAATTCTGTTGCTAAGGAATTTCAAAAGAACGAGAGAATCTGAAGAAAACACGAAACGGTGTGTGATATCAAGCAGCTGTTGGGCTTCAAGCGGTGCAACAACAATAGTAGATAAGCATGCTTAATTCATTTATTGAAACCGTCATTGATTGAAGGCAGTCTATTTTAGGCAAACTATTTGCATAACTTAATAGAAATTTTCCCAACTGTTATTGAATAGCTCTTCCTGATCTTTAGTCGCCCAAAATTGTTAAAATGCCACAACACACTGGTGAGGAAGCAACACACAATCAATGCGCACAGTTCTCTTTTGCTGCCTCAAGGTGTTCGCAAAAGTTTTCGAATACGACTCTCCTTTATTTGGCTGCAATGCCCAATGTTGCCGAAATATTTCATTCACCAGCCTCAATTTCCTGGATTCCATCTGCAACTTTTGTATGAATAGTTTTTCGGGTTGCGTTGGCATATTCACAGTGCGGTTTTACCAACTTTGTTGTCATTCGCCTGTTGCATACCACATGCAGTTACAATTCGTTGCATGTTTCGATCGTGTTGTTGCTGGCGTGGTTTCTGCTGTTCTTGCTGGTGAGTGGGGTTCATTGTAGTGGCTTCCAATTGCAATTGCTTTGCCATCAAACTTTCCTTGCTGCTAAGCCATCTTACAGTGCGTTCAAAAAATAACGTTTTCGTTTTCCAAAGTGTACGTAGCGTTTATTCGGAAAAATGTTGTAATTATAATCTAAAGTAACAATAAGGTTTTCTTGTTTTCATTGAGTACAGAGTCTGCTCCTACGTCTTCTCACAGTATGCAATCATGGTTATTTTTTGCCGTAAATCATTTCAGCTGACTTCAGTAAACTCTTCTTATACAATGTCATCATTATAACGGCGTTTAGGTTTTCTGTGAAGCACCTTTGCATAAATGTTTGTCCTTTTCTTAACCAAACACGTCTCAATGGCTTGAACTATAAAAAAATTGATAAATATACTCATTTTTTATTCGTCGTGTTCTCATTTGGTCATACATAGTTTTCGTTGTAGTTTATTTAGGTGGTACGTCAAAGGCATTTGTCCTTGTTCGAGATTTACCTACTGAACTTACACTCACAAGCATAAGATGCTTCACTCTTTCCTCATCTCGATCTCTCATCGAACTATAAAAAAATTGACTTATTTGTAAATATTACATTGCTCCAAACATGGTTGAAGTGTTCCAGCGTCCTTTTTATACTCTTACAGCTTATTGCTACAGAGTATAATAGTTTTGTCACCTAACCGTTGTTTGTATCAGCCATAACTAATCGAGTTAGATATGGGGTTATGTATTTATAAATGTTTAGGATGACGAGACGTGTTAAAAATGTAAAGACGAGTTCGTAGATTACAAACACACGTAGATTTGAAAACAGTGTAATTTGGTACAGGGGGCTGCGGTAGTAAGGGGCATCTGTGGGCTAAACATTTTTTAAAAGCGTTCGTGGCCCCGCCTTCTAAGGGGAGTAATGTCCACAAACCATTTAACCTATACCATCCAAATTCTCTTAGGATTCGGATTATAATCTCGCACTCTCCCTATATAACGGTTTTGTTAAAAATTCATCTTACGCCTAAAAATTGTCAAAACCCCCCAAAACCCAGACGCCAAACATGTGGACCTCAAGTTTTTGGCGAAAATATCGGACCAGAGTAGATTTCTGAAGTCTGTCCCATACATCTAATCTCTTTTAAAACAAAATTTTCTTAGCTTCTCTTAGACTGAACTGTGGTGTCTTCTCAAAAAGGAGAACAAGAGCTTCGTCCTTACTTTTAGATCTCACCTGATACCCTCCTTTTCCTGTCTCGTCATTTATTCTGAAATATTAGAAATTCTGGTAACGTCTGCATCTGGATGACTGAGTGTGATATTTCGTTCAGAAAATTATATTTTCTGTTTTCGCAAGAACAAGTTACGAGACGAATACCCCTTCATAAGGTCGTATAAGTGCAGTTAGATATTTATGGAATCATTGATACCCAGTAAAGCCTAACACCGTTAAGTCAAAGTAAAAAAAAATTGTTTTAAACAAAATCGAAGTTCACACAGTTTCTTTCGGTGGACAATGGCATTACCCACGGGACGTTACAAGGAAGTTTGAAAATAGTGGGTGGCGAGGTCTGAACTGAGTATCTGAGAATCTCTCGCCCATCTTTAGTGAACACAATACCATATTATTCGTTGCCTAGTTTTTCATAAATTTGCTATAGTTAGGTTCATTGTTTCTCCTTCGGCCATGTCTATGTAGATTTCAAATGTTATGTGCTATGTGCTTTGTTTTCTCATTGAAACGTGATATACGTAATCGCGTAATTCCTTACGTATGTACATTTATGTATATAGAGGTGTGGGTTTTTATTTCGTTTCTACTCTTCTCCTTGGTTCGCCCAGCCATCAAATCTTGAATTAAAATATCTATAAATAGAAAAGAGCTACAAGTATGAGCACTATGTACGCGTGTAATTTTGGCAGGCTGCCAGAGCGCACTCGTCGCGGTGCAGCCTGAGGGTCAATGCGGCAAACAATGTGTTAAACTTTACTTACCTACCACGAGTCTGTTTACCGCATGACTACACTTACGCCTTTGTATCTATGTATCGTAGCAAAGCCATTACAAAACCGGTGACGGGCTGCACTGTGCGAAATGAATTATTAATATTCTTGTATTTTATTCAATCTTTAGGTTACTCAAATATTCATTTAATTCGAAATTCATCCACTTTTTCATTGTATTACTTTGTCGAATTCATTATCTCGTTAAATTTCATTCTTGTTTACTGTGCAGAAAGTTAACTTCCGTTAGGCACAACACCGACTTCGTTCGTTGAATTTTATTTCGTACAATTCCACTTGTTAAGCTTGTGTGGCTATTGAGTTTTATTTGTTCCAATCATAGTTGGCAGCAATTGTTCGTATTATTGTCTGCGCGTTCTCTCTTCACACTTTCACTGTCTGTTGCCTAGTATTCCCACCTATCTGAAAACCCATAACCGCATCAAATTAGTTACCCCCTAAAAGTAATAGATGTGGAAATGGGATTAAAAATGTAAAAATATAAGATATAACATA